TATATATATATATATTTTTTTTTAAGAGAAAACCCTAAGTTCTCTCTCTCATTCTCTCACACCCGCCTCACTCCTCACAGTCACGCCAGCCTCAGTCCTCACCCGCCGTTTCCATCTCCATCGATCTGGAAAAGATTGAGATTGAAAAGCCTTTCTGAACGAACGACCCATCTCCATCTTCATCTCCATCTCCATCTCCATTGTAGTTTCAGCCTTTCTGAATTTTTATTTTGGGGAGCGGACGGGACTGTTTCAACTTTCCTCAATATCAACGACCCACTCCATCTCCATGTACGTACTCCTCCTACTTCTTCATATTCAATTTCTTCTTTTAACTTGTTGCATCTATTTGATTTTAACTAATCTGCATTTTATCCTCCTTCTTCGCATTCAATTTCTCTATCTCCATGTACATAATCTGCATTTTCCCAAAGCCTTGATTCAATTCATTTGGCGATTCCATGACGTACTAATAAATATCCTAAGGAAGGCAGCAACAAACTACAAGATTCTGGCCATTTAAATTCAGAAAAGGCTTGTTGAAACCAGAATCGAGTAGGAGCAAACCCAGAGAAATCTAAGGATGCTCAACACAGGTATGACCAAGTTGGATAACTTGCTTTCACAACAAAACGTTAGTAGTGATAATTGGGGCTCGGCCACAATGGTCAAGAAACCTTAGAAAAGATCATTTTTGTGAAGGCAACCACCAGCTCTCTAGCATAGCATTCTCAAACGTCACAGGTAAAACAAGTTAAGCAATTTGTTGCAACAAATAGATTTGTTCCAATTTGTCATTATTATAATGTGCTTGGACACATTAGGCCTCGGTATTTTAAGTAAATAAATGCAATAAAAAGAGGTATGCAGGTGAGACCTTTTAATTTTGGCAGAATAAAGCAAACACCTTAAATTAAGATTGATTCAACTCCTAAAAATCAAGAAAAGTTTGGATTACGAAATTTAATTTGAGGTGCTTTGATGTTCGCACTTCTTTAAAAGATTACGCTATTGACTCTTAGTACCTTGACAGTGGTTGTTCCAAGCATATGACAAGTGAAAAGAATTTTTCTGAGAAATTACCAAAGTTGTTCCGATGGTCATATGAACTTTGGTGATGGTAGGATGTGTTCTTGATCATTGGATAATTGTTACATTCTGTTACACCCACATACATTTCACAAACTTTGAAAATTGGTTGACAGTGAAACAATTGTTTTAGAATTTGTTGCAACAGGAAGACAACTTGTTAACATTTTTACCAAAGCTCTTGCTGCATTGTGGTTTGAATCCTTGAGAAAAACATTTGGAATCCGTCTTATGTATTTATTTATTTATTTTATTTTTGTGCATTTGGGTTTTGCATTCATCTTGCTCATACGTATGGTCCACAATCATTTGTGCACAACTTCACTTTGGAATTTTTAGATTTTTGATTGAATTGAGTTGTGATATGGACGATCTACCATGAGAAAAGACCTACCCTGGTGATTGAGTGAAAGGCCCCAAAAATAAAATATAAAAATAAAAACCTGCAAAGTGATCTAGATGAATAGGTAAGTTTGAACAGGTTTTTCATTTCCTGAAATTTCAAGTGCTAAAATTGATGATGTTCAAAAAGGGGATATTTGTGCAAGTTCTTTCACACACTAACTTTGTTCATATTGAAATTATATTTTGATATGAAATTGAGAATAGTACATATTTTATTTTTGAACATAACTTTGAGTGGACTCCAATTTCTTGAGCATTGCATTTGCATGCAGATAGGCTTTTAAAATAATTAACTTTTTTTGAGGCTATCCTTTTGCTTGCATTCTCTGTGCAAATTGGTTTCTTGGTTTAGAATATCATGAGTTGTTATTTTGGTGCAAAAATTTTTTGTGTTGGTTCTGCTGTCAACTTCATGTTGTTCTGTCTCCAGAGTTTGCATGGGAAACTATTTTTTTTATTGCGTCCGTTCCATTCTCATTCTAATAAGTTTGTGGTGCACATTTAGGGGGAGACAAGATTATAGAAGATGTTGTACCATTTTCGTTTCAAAAAATTGTTGCAACAAATCTTGCAACAGATCTAGCAACAGTCGGCGCTGAAGACGTGAAAGGGGGTTCCTAACTTCTTACTGTTTTTTTAAAGATGATCAGATTAGCTTGGGCAGTATTTTTGCAGGTTCCTAACCGGTTTTTCTACTTTGGTCACTATTTTCTCAAAAAGGGGGAGTAGTGTTAGTGTTATTTTGTGTGATTTTGGAGGAGTTATTTCTTTTGATATTCTGTTGATTTTCAGTTTTGTTTGTGGATTCAATTTCCATTTCACTTTTTAATATTTTACCAAAACAATGCCAAAGGGAAAGATTATTGGGATTTGATTCTCAAATCTGTTTTGATTCTCTGATTGTTTATTGGTGATTAGCATTATTTTGGTAATGTTAAACTGATTGACATGTACTAGAGAACTTCTTTGGAAAGAATCTGCTCATTTTGGAAACTATATAAAGTCCATGAAAGTTAACATTTGCTTCAAGTTCGGTTAATGATTGATGATTTGATTGATATGAATGTGATTTGGCCAACTAGACGAATTTCACTTACTTCTGAGGATCACGTGTAGGTTCGTGAGGCTTTACATGGAAAGACTTCAAGAATTAACGTGATTGGTTTTTCAGATCAACTTTTTAATAGTAAATATTGTAGAAATTGTTGCAACAAGTTTCTGTAAGAAGTTGAGAACAACATTTTGCACTAAAGTTATTTGCCAGCTATTTTAGAAGGTTGCTTGCTTATTTGCAGCATGCCTTTTGTATCAGTTTTTTTGAGTGTGAGATCGGGGCGTGCAATTATAATTTCATTAATTCTTCAGGAGGATGGTTTATAGTTTTTCAGGAGAGAAATTTTGTTGAGGAGGGTGTATGCATGTGTGTGTTTGATATTTGGATATTTTAATGTGTGTTAGCTATTATGCATGATTTTAACTATAAGTGATATTAAGTAGTCAATTAATATAGTTTTGAATACAATATAAAATTCCACTACTTTTGCTAGTTGGGTCATAAACGGGTCATAAACGTGTTTTTTTCATGTCGGCCCGTCACGGCATGTTTAGTAATCGTGTTCGCGTGTCGTGTCGTGTTAACCGTGTTATTAGCGTTTCGCGTTCGTGTTTGAATTTTTGACACGTTTATTAATCGTGTCGTGTTCGTGCTCACTATAATTGTGTCGTGCCGTAATTATGTCGGCCTAAACACGGCCCACGAACACAAATTGCCAGCCATACTTCAATTGAATTTACCGATGGTTCCAATCTTTAGTTGGGATTAAGTCGCTAAATGCGTTGTGGTCTTTCAAATCTAAATTAGTGTTTGTATCTTTCTAATTTGGAATGCAATGTCCATTTTTAAAAAAAAAATTTACTAATTTAAACCCATAAACAAGGGAGATTATGAAAAAACGTGGCAAGATTCACTTCGGATGCCCAAGATGAATAAGTACAGATCATTTCTATTAGTAAGGGGAGACAAAATAATCAAACCATATACAGATAAAGATTGAATACGCCAATAACTTGACTCGTAAAATAGAAAGAAAAACAAAATTACAAACCAAACCATATACAAAAGAAAATTGGAGCCAACTTGGAACGAAAAAAAAAAAAAAAAAAAAAAAAAAAAAAAAAAAAAAAAAAGAAAAGTTAACGTGTAGGAACTGCAAAACGTGATATCCACCCCCATCACCGTTAACTTTTCAACAAAACAATCCGAAACACTCAGAAAACCAAGCAAAAACTTCATGGTTGAAGCATAGTCGTTATATCTGGAATCTGATGATGTTTTTGATATTGTGCAGGCCAGTAAATTAGCTCCATATTTCCGGGATAGTTTAGCCGGCATAATGTTTTCTACAAGTCAGAAACTCTAGATTCATGTTGTTATCCCTTCAAGTTAATTAGGCGAAACCACTTTTGGAGCTTTCATGCCAAATCCCTGCTTTGCCTTCTCAACTCTGTTTCATCAAAGTCAGCAACAGTTTGATTACGACGTTGAAATAACCATGAAAAAATAATACAGTAAGAGATTCCACGGCAGTCAAAATACAAAATCATATCTATTGTCATATAGTAGCCTCAGGAGACTCTGATAGATGGTCTAAAACCCAGGACAAGACAACGATAAAGATAGAGAGAGCATCTTTGAAAACTGTGAAATGATATCAACTGAATAAATAAACATAAAATGCTCTATCAGGAAAAAAAGAAAAAAAAAGCATGAATATGGCTAGCTGGAATATTCACTTCATGACTACTTGCACGCAGTGAGTGATGCATAATTTGATACGGCCATAATCATCAGATGCTTGAAAAGTTAAAAAGTTTAGAGTCACCGAGATTTACTTATGACCGTTTAATTCGCTAATTCAAATTTTTAATTTGAATTAAGATGTAATTTTATGTGAGAATTTTTTACTGTAATAAAAAAATTAAATGTGACTACTTTTAAAAGTTTTTACTGTAATAAAACTCGAATTCTAAACTCGAATTGGTGAAATGAACGTGACTTATATCTGATTTGGCCAGCTAGACGAATTTCACTTACTTCTGAGGATCACGTGTAGGTTTGTGAGGCTTTACATGGAAAGACTTCAAGAATTAACGTGATTGGTTTTTCAGATCAACTTTTTAATAGTAAATATTGTAGAAATTGTTGCAACAAGTTTCTATAAGAAGTTGAGTACAACATTTTGCACTAAAGTTATTTGACAGCTATTTTAGAAGGTTGCTTGCTTATTTGCAGCATGCCTTTTGTATCAGTTTTTTTGAGTGTGAGATCGGGGCGTGCAATTATAATTTCATTAATTCTTCAGGAGGATGGTTTATAGTTTTTCAGGAGAGAAATTTTGTTGAGGAGGGTGTATGCATGTGTGTGTTTGATATTTGGATATTTTAATGTGTGTTAGCTATTATGCATGATTTTAACTATAAGTGATATTAAGTAGTCAATTAATATAGTTTTGAATACAATATAAAATTACACTACTTTTGCTAGTTGGGTCATAAACGGGTCATAAACGTGTTTTTTTCATGTCGGCCCGTCACGGCATGTTTAGTAATCGTGTTCGCGTGTCGTGTCGTGTTAACCGTGTTATTAGCGTTTCGCGTTCGTGTTTGAATTTTTGACACGTTTATTAATCGTGTCGTGTTCGTGCTCACTATAATCGTGTCGTGCTGTAATTATGTCGGCCCAAACACGGCCCACGAACACAAATTGCCAACCATACTTCAATCGAATTTACCGATGGTTCCAATCTTTAGTTGGGATTAAGTCGCTAAATGCGTTGTGGTCTTTCAAATCTAAATTAGTGTTTGTATCTTTCTGATTTGGAATGCAATGTCCATTTTAAAAAAAAATTTACTAATTTAAACCCATAAACAAAACGAGGGAGATTATGAAAAAACGTGGCAAGATTCACTTCGGATGCCCAAGATGAATAAGTACAGATCATTTCTATTAGTAAGGGGAGACAAAATAATCAAACCATATACAGATAAAGATTGAATACGCCAATAACTTGACTCGTAAAATAGAAAGAAAAACAAAATTACAAACCAAACCATATACAAAAGAAAATTGGAGCCAACTTGGAACGAAAAAAAAAAAAAAAAAAAAAAAAAAAAAGAAAAGTTCACGTGTAGGAACTGCAAAACGTGATATCCACCCCCATCACCGTAACTTTTCAACAAAACAATCCGAAACACTCAGAAAACCAAGCATAAACTTCATGGTTGAAGCATAGTCGTTATATCTGGAATCTGATGATGTTTTTGATATTGTGCAGGCCAGTAAATTAGCTCCATATTTCCGGGATAGTTTAGCCGGCATAATGTTTTCTACAAGTCAGAAACTCTAGATTCATGTTGTTATCCCTTCAAGTTAATTAGGCGAAACCACTTTTGGAGCTTTCATGCCAAATCCCTGCTTTGCCTTCTCAACTCTGTTTCATCAAAGTCAGCAACAGTTTGATTACGACGTTGAAATAACCATGAAAAAATAATACAGTAAGAGATTCCACGGCAGTCAAAATACAAAATCATATCTATTGTCATATAGTAGCCTCAGGAGACTCTGATAGATGGTCTAAAACCCAGGACAAGACAACGATAAAGATAGAGAGAGCATCTTTGAAAACTGTGAAATGATATCAACTGAATAAATAAACATAAAATGCTCTATCAGGAAAAAAAGAAAAAAAAAGCATGAATATGGCTAGCTGGAATATTCACTTCATGACTACTTGCACGCAGTGAGTGATGCATAATTTGATACGGCCATAATCATCAGATGCTTGAAAAGTTGAAAAGTTTAGAGTCACCGAGATTTACTTATGACCGTTTAATTCGCTAATTTAAATTTTTAATTTGAATTAAGATGTAATTTTATGTGAAAATTTTTTACTGTAATAAAAAAATTAAATGTGACTACTTTTAAAAGTTTTTACTGTAATAAAACTCGAATTCTAAACTCGAATCGGT